TTCTTTTTACCATTTCAACAGCGAGCAGACCAGGGTTTTACTTACAAGTGCGGCTTTTGTTTATCTGAAGAACATCGATTTTTCCAAGCACACAAGAAACCTTTCTCCAGCAAGTCGAACTATATTGTTATCAGGGCCTGCAGGTTATTTCAATTTTTTTTAAAAGTTTGCTTTGTTAATCACACTTGAATATATCTTTAACTGCATTGACTAAATTTTGTCTTTGTGTTGTGGATTTAAAGAGCTTTATCAGCAAATGCTTGCCAAAGCTTTGGCTCATTATTTTGAAGCCAAGTTGTTGTTGCTAGATGTCAATGATTTTTCACTTAAGGTGAGCATGTCATTTCAAAAAAAAAAAATTATATACTGTTTGAATTTATCTAATCTACCCCTTTTGATTTTTGTCAGGTCCAGAGCAAATATGGAGCTTCATCCAAAGAAACTGTAAGCACTATGAACATTTTTTCAATAGTCTGTTTTTTATCTACTGATGCATTTTCTACTATATATGTATATAGACCTTCAAAAGATCCACTTCAGAAACAACCTTGGGGCGAATGTCAGACTTATTTGAATCAACCATGTCTATGTTTCAATCCAAACAGGAAATAAAAGGTATTTAATTAGTTTCCATTCTTACTGTTCACAGTTTACATCTTTAAGAAACTGCCTCCTTTAAAAGGTCGTATACTTTCATGTTGTCTGTGTAATAAACTTATACTTGTTCTTCTTGTTTACATTTGATTCATATAATTGCTGTATTTTACAGGAACATTACGTAGACAGAGCAGTGTTTCTGATTTTGGATCAAGGTATGACATTGACATACAATCTTGTTGATAAAAAAATATAGAAATCTAGTTTTTCATTTCTCTTTTTATATACAGGGGGACTGAATCTTTCTCAAGTACTCCAAATCTTAGGAGAAACGCATCTTCATCAGCTAATATTGATGAGCTTGCTTCAAAATCTACTCCACCAAATCCAGGTAATTAAATTATTACACTAAGAAAAAAATCCCAACAATAATATAATAACCTTTTTGGCATATCCTTCTTCTCAGCTCCACTTAGGCGCACAAGCAGTTTGTCTTTTGATGAGAAACTTTTTGTACAAACCTTGTACAAGGTTCTTACTTTCATATCCAAGAACAGTCCTATCGTGTTATACCTTAGAGACATCGAGAAGCTTCTATGCAGATCCCAAAAGTTATACACCTTATTCCAGAAAATGTTAAAAAGAATTTCTGGACCTGTACTGATACTTGGGTCACAAGTTATTGACTCTGAGAAAGATTACAGAGACTTAGACGAAAGGATTACTTCTGTGTTCCCATACAATATTGAAATCAAACCTCCTCAAGAGGAAAACCATCTTGTGAGTTGGAAAAGTCAACTTGAAGAAGATATGAAGATGATTCAGTTTCAAGATAACAGAAATCATATTAGTGAAGTTCTTGCTGCCAATGATCTTGACTGTGATGATCTTGCGTCTATTTGTGTGGCTGATACAATTGATCTTAGCAACTATATTGAGGAAATTGTGGTGTCAGCTATCTCATATCATCTCACACATACAAAGAATCCAGAGTATAGAAATGGAAAACTAGTTATTTCTTCTACAAGGTCTGATTTATTTTAAGAGTTGATCACAAAAAATCGGAAGCTCGTGTCATAAAATGACCACATTTTCAACATTTACCACAAAATGACCACTAAAAAAGTTGTGAAATACCTTTCTTTATTGCAAAAATGTCGATTTTTTATGCTTGGTGATGATTTTTTTTTTTTTTTTTTGCGAAAATAAATAAGAATCCTGAAATTGACTATTAGAAGGTATTTATTTCAAATGTAAACAAATTTGGTTAAGGGGTGATGTTTTTCGAATTTACCTAAAAGTTTTTGAATTAAAATTTGCAATTCAAAGATACAGCGAAAAGACATTAAATTTTTGCGAACAAAAATATATATAATAAAATATGAAATCAGAAAAAGCAATTTTGTGAATTAGGGAACCTTTTTATCGCAAAATAGGTGGGGTTGTTATTTTGTGACAAATATTGAAAAGCTAGGTGATCATTTCATAATATAACCTTCCCATTTTTGTGAATGAACTCTTCTGTTTATCCAATTATACCATTAATTATTTGTTTCCTTAAATATGCTGCTGACTTTTTACTTTTTATATTTGACACATAAAACAGTTTGTCTCATGGGTTGAGCCTGTTCCAGGAAGGTAAATCTGTTAAGAAGGAGACCTCAACCTCAAAGGTTTGTGATATATATATATTCTATCTTTAATTAGAAATTCACTATAAAAATCCTTTATTAATTTTAACTCACTTATATTATATGTTATATACAATTAATCATTACAGGATACAGTTGTGAAAGATTCTGTTGCCCCAAAACCAGAAACCAAAGCTGAAAGCACCAGTGGTCCTAAGGAAGCAGAAGCTTCTTCGGCTCCTAAGAATGCTGATAATGTCACCCCAACACCTAAAGCTCCCGTAGGTTTCTATAAATCTTTCTTAAAGTTTTTTATATAAAAAAATATATATATATATATATATATATTTAATTTCTAATTAGTTATTGTGATCTTAATTTTTAGGAAGTTCCTGCTGATAACGAATTTGAGAAGCGAATTAGGCCAGAAGTGATACCCGCAAGTGAAATCGGTGTTACGTTTTCTGACATCGGTGCATTAGATGACATTAAAGATTCACTTCAAGAACTGGTGATGTTACCTTTAAGAAGACCCGATTTGTTCATTGGAGGACTTCTGAAGCCATGCAGAGGGATATTACTATTTGGCCCTCCTGGAACAGGGAAAACCATGCTTGCTAAAGCCATTGCCAACGAGGCTGGAGCAAGTTTCATCAATGTTTCAATGTCCACCATTACCTCAAAATGGTTTGGGGAAGATGAGAAGAATGTTAGAGCTTTGTTTACACTTGCAGCTAAAGTGTCGCCTACTATTATATTTGTTGATGAGGTGGATAGTATGCTTGGTCAAAGGTCAAGAGCTGGTGAACATGAAGCCATGAGGAAGATTAAGAATGAGTTTATGACTCATTGGGATGGGTTGTTGACTAAACCAGGTGAAAGGATTCTTGTTCTTGCTGCTACTAATCGCCCTTTTGACCTTGATGAGGCTATTATCAGACGTTTTGAGCGAAGGTATATATTTTCAAACTTTTAGAATTCAAATAATGAATGTTAAATGTTTTGTAATGGTGAAAATAGGATAATGGTGGGGTTACCATCGGTGGAAAATAGGGAAAAGATATTGAAGACTCTTTTGGGAAAAGAAGAGATTGATGAAGGATTGAACTTTGGTGAACTTGCTACTATGACTGAAGGATATACTGGAAGTGATCTGAAGGTTAGGGGCTGTTACTTTTTGACTTAATAAGCACTTAATTAATCTGGATTCAGACACCAACCCTTTACTTATTTGTGTTTTTTTTTTCCTCCCAAATATTCCCACGCTAAAATTGATGGATATTGTGAAAGTTGTTTGTTGAAATGTCATTCAGATGGTTTATTCTGTCTAGAAAAGAAACATATGTTATATATACAACACTTTATGTCTATCATCATCCATCACTTATTCAATCATTTAACACATACATGATCTAATACAGCCCCTTGGTATATTCTGGGTTAATCAATGTTTATGATGATATGGCATGATTATAACTAATTTTTGGTGACATTACAGAATCTGTGTACGACTGCTGCTTATCGACCAGTTAGGGAGCTGATACAGCAAGAAAGATTGAAGGATATTGTGAGTATATTATAATATGAATAAAACCTACCTGTGACTTTTATCTTTTTTTTTTTTTTTTTAATAGTTTGTTTGTGTCTAAAAAATAAAAATGGCAGGAGAAAAAACTGAGAGCTGAGAGGGGAGAGGGGCCTCAATCTCCAGAAGGAGTTACAGAGGAGAAGGTGATTACCATCAGGCCACTAAATATGGAGGACTTTAGGGAAGCCAAGAATCAGGTGGGTGTCAAATGACGATTATGCCCCTTATATGATTTATTAATTTGTGTGTTGTGTTGATAAATGAAAATGTTTGTGTACAGGTGGCGGCTAGTTTTGCATCGGAAGGGTCAATAATGGGGGAACTGAAGCAATGGAACGAGCAATATGGTGAAGGGGGTTCAAGGAAAAAGGAGCAATTATCATATTTCCTCTAATAAACTCACTCTCACTCTCACTTTCACTTTCACTTTGATTTAATCCCCCCTCCTCCATATGAAATATGAACCACCCATCCATCAATCACTCTACTCATGTACACGTTGTAGCCACCCACCATACAAAAACATCAACATCAAGGGGCTCCGTTTGTACCAAAACTGTGGGTCACAGGTGGGTGGGTGGCTTACAATTATATGAGTGCCCCTGTTCCTGTTGCTGTACCTTTGTGTGTTGTTTTGTACCATTTGTTTTGTCTTGTTGTTTTCCCCCTCATCAAATCACACGATATTTGTCTGATTTTTATTCTCGAAATAGTGTGTGCGCTTGTGTTGTATGTACCATATTTCCTTTTTCTACTGGATGTTGCAACCTCGTGTAATATTTTATTATTCTTCTCAAATAATAAATATAACCTTGTTTGTGATTTTACTGTTACTGATTAATTGGAATAAACACGAGTTGCCATGTGGATTTAAATTATGAGATCTAATACAAGTTTAGTAGTACAACTTGTGACACTGCAAAATATGGGGTCAAAGATCACGACCCAAAATCTTTACAAAATTTTGGACATGGAAAATATGATCTCAATGGAACATAGATAATTGACGGATGGTAGTCTCCATTAATAACCCATTTTGAACTGCAGATTTTGCATTTTTTTTCTCGACTTTATCCACCTTTTGGATGTATGAATACATATTTAGTCATATTTGAGGCTGGCTAACAAATTTGGACTCATCAATATACTCTCCAGCAATGCCGTTTTTTTGTGACTAAATTGAAAGTGTCTTAAATACAATCACAAAATTAAATTCCTTGTAACATGATCAAAATACTAATAACAGGAAGTGAACTCAAACCATCAATTATTAAAAGAAAGAAAAAAAAATCCAGTAATTTAAAACCGATAATGTTTTTCCACTCTGTTCTAACAATTTACAACTCTCACTTAAGTGAGCGGAATCAAGTTGTTAGGTCATTTAACATTTACTTGTTTTATAATGATAGCTATAAACACGGATTCCATAATTTGATGGTGACATTTACTGAATCAAAATCAGAATCAGAATAAATAAATAAATAGAATTTTAGGACCCACTAATGTAGTCGACAAGATTTAATACACATCATGCAAGAAATGACCACACACCACCAAGATTGTGTTCTCACAAAGACAAACATACTACATCATATATTAGTTTCAAGACAAAGTGCCACATCAACAAAAACTGTAACACCATGTATATATTTTAAAAAAAAAAACACAAAGACATCACCACAACTCTAAAAACACAAGAAATTATATTGGGGAGGAGGGTTTTACGTATCAATCAATCTCTATTACCAACCTCACAAACCCCAAATCATCAAGAAAAACACAATAATCAACCATTTTTAAGATTTAGATATATAAGACACACCTACCCAGTAACAAAGTCGTTGCATATTCTTAAACCTTTTTCTTAGCTTTAAGCTCTTTCATGGATCTCGGGATCTTACACAACACTTTTGCATCGAAAACCGCATATTGTTTCTTGATTTCAATCAATGCTTTCTCTGCAAGCGGATCAATCTTATCCTCATATTTATCATACGCCACAGGCACCGTGAACAGCAACACAACCACTGCAATATAATATTTTTTTTTCAAAATAAATAAATAAATCAGAATTTCATTATTGAAAGTTGCTAATAGACATGGAATAGTTGTGTGGAGTTAGGAAATTACATATGTAAACCAATGTCAAGAAGTTATAACAGTTGCTGATGATTGACACAAACCACAAACCAGCAATAACCTGAGAGAACATTAAACAACAATGATAGATAATAAGAAAACGAAGATTCTTGTATAAAATTGAATATAAAAGATTGAAGAAAAAAGAAACTTACAGATAGAAACTTTTTGAGGTCTTTCCCTGAAGCGATATCTCTAATTGCTGCAAAACCTTTGTTTAACTCAATTCTCACGGATGACACGATTTCCAAAACAGGTTTCTCTGGAATCACAACTTGTGGGATTTTTGGTGGAGATCTGTATAAAACATCAACTCATGAATGAGTGTATCAAATTGGGGAGACAATTTGAAAAATAAGAACACTTACTTGTTGATGAAAGCTGAGGCATTTGACCATAGGAATAGTATTGCCAATGTAAGAATCAGACTGTGGCAAACAAGAGTCAGCAAATGATATTCCAGCACTTCAAAAAGGAACCAGATGATTGAAACTCCACCTAGGATTCCACCAGATACCTTCTTGTCCTTCCATAGGAGCACATCAGCAGCTTTACAGATAGAAAAAAGTTAGATGATGAACAGATAAGAGTAAGACCTCCATTGATTGTTTCAGCAATGGCATTAAGCATGTTTCACATTGGTGGTATTATATTATTGCATACAAATAGAAACTTTTACTTTTTCAACCCAAGAAGAAACCACCTTTTGCTTTATTGATATTAATTATTAACATTTAGCTTTCATCAAGAAACGATAATTGGAATGTTAGCAGCCTTTATGAAGCAAAAAGGTAACATATTAACTGGAAAAGAGCTTCGTTAACAGCGTGGATTGATGATTAAAGAAAAAGATAGACCTTTTGCTTTAACTTTAGACGACCATAGAGGAAATGGTTTTGATTAAGAAAAAAAATTTTATTAGAGGTATAACGATATGTCAGGTCTAGATCCAGATGCAGAAAATTGGATCCGATCAAATTTTTGCATGAACTACCTTGTAGAGATCAACAGGTCTTGATATTGTAATAGGACGAATACTTATTTCCTTGTGGCCTAAGTAAATGATAAAAGCGACGATTCTCAGAATAATAAATCGATCCATTGATTAGAGAACATAGTCGATTATTATCTAGGATTGTAAATCGGTAAATTATGTTACTCACGTATATACAACTCATGAATCATTTAGACGAAATCTCAAACGATAACCGAAGTAGTAATATCGAGAGAAAGGATTATTAAAGAAGTAACTAAAGCAAGTTAGGGTTTAAGACTAATCAAAATCCAGTAAAACTGAAGTGTTAAGGGTAAGTAATAACGATAACATACGCTTTCCGCCGCCGAAGACATTGTGGACGGGCTTTTCCCTACCGAACATGCGAAAAACCTTCGATTTCATCGCTGAAATCTTGTTGTCGTCGTCTGAATCTGAAGACGAGGAAGAATCATCCTTACCGTGAATCTTGTCCGATATCTTCTCCATCAACGATTCCGACTTATGATCCTCGTGATCTGACATGTTCGCTCAGTCGATTGAAATCTGAAAAACCCAAATCTTGAACCTGAAATCTTTGGTTTTGAAACAGATTGATGATGAATCGCTCTGGAGTCTTCAGTAACGCAAAGAATGTGTGAGACTAGCTGCGTAGGTGGGTCATAAACAGAAGATTATCTACCGAACCTGATCCTGAGCTTGAGGTCTGGGAACTTTCCGAGCCTATTAATTCGGGATTGGCTTTAACCTGATTGGTGATAACGATATCTACGAGGCTAATCAAAAAACGAACTTCGAATTAGCTACTCTTTACCCCCAAATATGCGATATAATTTTTGTATGTTTTAAATTACTATAATAATGTACAAGCCTATAATACATAAATTCAATTTATGAAAGACAAAAAATTATTATGTACAAATCACTTCCCGTAATATATATACGATACATCAGTTACTATGAATTACGAGTTCAGACGATGTTGTAACTACGTATTCATTCGATGATACTCTAACCCCTTACTATAAATTACGAGTTCAAGCGATGTTGTAACTACGTATTCATGTGATGATACTCTAACCCCTTGCTATGAATTACGAGTTCAGGCGATGTTGTAACTACGTATTCATACGTGGATGCCCTAACCCTTGTTGGGCACGTATTGATGGAGTAATCCCTGAATCAATATTGTCTATGCGATATAGGCGATGATCCTTAGGGAGAGTCCTTAAGAACAAACATATAAGGAAATGCGATGTAAGGAGATAAGAGGTAAATATGATGTAGGAGACGATCCTTAGGATAAATCCTTAGGGGATGTACTTAGGAATAAAAAAAAGTAATGGGGATGGATAATTTGGTTAATTGTTTGATGATTAAACATAATAATTATATTATTGTGGATTAAAAATTCTATGTACTCACCATTCCCAACCTGACCCACTCAGTTTACTCGTATCACAAGTGATGAGGTAAAGTTACATTACACTGAGAGATTAAGGAGATATAGATCACTAGTGTAAATGAATAAAAATACATTTCTTCGGAAATGATTATGTTTATGCTTATGTTTATGAGTGACGATGACATCCCAAATTGTTTATAATGAATAAAAATACATTTCTTCGGAAATGCTTTGATAATGAAGTTATCCTGTTTTTTTCTGGGAACAAATTCCGCAACGTTTTTATTAAAAGAGATACTCTGATTTTTATAAAGCATAAACAAAATCGATCTTTTCTGGCCGTGAAAATAGGGATGTCACATGGGCCCATACTATTGAAAACGCATGATATGTACTCGAGTCAAGGGAGTCACAAGGATACTAAGGGACCCGCATGGTGTGAGGTTCTTCGAGTGTTTTCTAATGGTTTGCATTGTTTATTTTCAGTATGGTGGTCACTCGAGGTGGTTTAGGTCTCGGTGAGGGATCAGGTTCGGGCTCTGGAGTCGGACCCTTGGATGATCAAATGTGGGAGTTCATTTCGTCTGAGATTACCCGCAACATTCTGAAGCAGATTCTTGTGATCTTTGGTACGATCAAGGAGGGCATCATGGATATTTTGGATGAGCATTTGGGCGTATTTCATACTGAGATGGTTGCCATTGTGGGTGCACGCTCTTTTACTTTTCGATATTTTTGTGCATGTAAGGATCCTGAGTTCTTCGAAATGAAGGACCCTATTGCTAGTAGACGGTGGTTGAGGGACATCGGGAACAACTAGCTTCTGCCCGTAAGGGTCGAAGGTCATATTTACATATTGTATTCTGAAAGAGAAAACCCGTGATTGGTGGGAGAAGGTGGACTATGCTTTTGGAGGCAATGCTATTGAGATAATGTCTTGGGATTACTTTATTACAAGATTCAAGGATGATTTTGTGCTTGTGATTACGGTTCAACAGTTGGCGAGGGACTTTCAGGACTTTCGCCAAACTACCGAGACTATAGTTGAGATCACCGACATGCTCTGTGAGAGGGCCTTATTGGTACGTTGAAGGATGAGATACGTGAATTTGTTTGCATGATATGTTGAAGGATGAGATACGTGAATTTTTTTGCATGATATGTTGAAGGATGAGATATGTGAATTTGTTTGCATGTCTTGCTACAAGACATTGGAGGACATGATAGCTCGGGCTCGCAACCAAGAGATAGATATGGAGTTAGTGATATAAAAGAAATCGGTTTAAGCTCAGGTATCTGAGGGCTTGAGGAAGAAGCCCGAGTTTGTATATTCCAGATCGAGGGGCCATCAAGGTCGGGGTCGGTGCGGCCAGACGTACGAGAGAGCATGCAGGGATGGTGGTTCTGGAAGCTACAAGTGTGGCAAGACTGGTCACTTCAGCAGAGATTTCACTGTCACTACCATTACCCAGGGATCTTGTCTGATTTGCTTTCATTACAATTAGAGAGGCCACAAATAAGGCTGATTGTCCGATTTTGGCAGCATGGGGAGTGGTTGTAGCAACGACTCCGATGGCATTGAGGATCACCAACAGCCGCCAGGGCAAAGCAGAGGTACTGGCCATGAGTCGGACAAGTTGATGGTGAAGAACCGTTATCCACTTACGAGGAATGATGATTTGTTCGAACAGTTGTGTAACACCCTAAAATATCAAGAGTAGAGTTGAATGACTAAAAGTGTAAATCTTGAAGGGCAACTCGGCGAGTCCATGGAGGGACTCGGCGAGCAGGGTCGCGACTTTGGTCGCGTGTCAAGTGGCCTACTCGGCGAGTCCAAAGATGGACTCGGCGAGTAGGTGCTGAGTGGAGAAAACCCTAATTCTCGGGGTTGAGCTCTATATAAAGAACTTAACATCCATTCCCCTAGCCTCTTTACTCATCCTCAAGTCCAGAAACCCTTAGTATTCGTGTGTGTGTGTGGATCAAAGTGCATTTGGGAGCTTGAAGGGTATTTGTTGAAGAAATCTTGGGAGTTTGGAGGCTTGGAGCAAGGGGCTTTGCTTGGATTGAACGATTGAAAATGGTTGTTTTCTGAATATTAAATGAATTATGTTTTATAAAAATTTGAAAATTTTGTTTTGAAATTTACGGTGTTACAATTTGGTATCAGAGCCTTGGTTTGAGGGATTCGGATGCACCTTCGGACGTATTTGAACTCAAACCGAGGATTTGAGAAATTTTCAAACAACACTAAAATGTTCTAAAAAGAAAAAGAGGTTTTGGAACCAAACAGAGTGGAAGGTGTGTACGGTCAGCCAGCGCCCGAACGGTGAATCCCCAAAATACCCTTACTTTGGTGTTATGATATATTTATGATGCACTTTATGAGATATTATTGCATGCTAGGGACATGCTAGGTATTCCATATCTTAGGACTAGAGTGGCCTGATTTGTGATGCCTTAGCCTAGGGATTGCTGTTTTATGCGATGTGCTTTTGAGTATGTGATGAATGAGAATATTTAGTTGGAATCCTTGAGGGGGTTCGAGTAGAAGAGTAATTTAATGGAGATACCTAGATAAGTACCGTGGTACTTAGCAAAGGAGTAGTTAAAACCGCGAGGGGAAGAGTTGCAGAGTTCGGTGGTACTTCCGGGGATGAGCTGAGCAAGCGGAGTTATCACCCAGAGAATGTTATGGTTCGAGTACCATACATCGGAGCAGGTGGAGGATTGGTGCTATGGTTCGAGTACCATACATCAAAGCAGATTGAGGAGTGATGTTATGGTTCGAGTACCATACATCAATGCAGATTGAGGAGTGAAGTTATGGTTCGAGTACCATACATCGGAGCAGATGAAGGATTGATGCTATGGTTCCGGTACCATACACCAGAGAATATTGAGAAGAGATGTCATGGGATAGGTACCATGGTTCGTAGTGAATGATGCTTACGGTTCTCCGGTCTCGATTGATGAGGGAGAGATTGGATGCTATGGGTTTTAGGCCTGTGGGCCATGATTGAGTTCGAAGAAGCGTCCTTTGAGAGGGAGGTCGAGAGCCTTTCAGAGTATTTTGGTATGGAGTCAGAGGGAGGGGAAAATTTCGGTCTGAGTTGAGCAATCAATCGATAGAGGAGATGTCAACTTCTATGACCTGACTGGTGTTATTTATGTTCGTGTGCGAAACATGAGAGGCATGATGTTTAAGTTTTGGGTTTGGGGGTAAACCCTGCAGGTTGTCATTGATGATGATTTTCCTCCAGAGTATCAGGTAGCATGTGTGTCGCGAGGCAGTGATTATCATGAGCAGATAGTCAGTTAGGACTGAGATAGTCGAGGACCACGTTACACCTATTTGAGTATAGTAGGGCGTATTCTAGTGGTATTAGTGGGGAGACCAGTAGAGCTTATCAGTGCAGTAGTTTTCGATCTATGTTGGGTATTGAATATGGGAGTAGGTCCCTGTTCTTGGGACGATCCATGTGTTGGAACATTGGTTGATGAGTCGAGGTGGGGGAGTATGATGATTCGTGGTTCAGTCTATGGGTCAGTGATGTTATTGAACAATTGAGTTGTTTGGTATTGGATTGGTACGAGACCTGGAACGACTAGAGGCCATCGTGACAAGAAGTTCTTGAGGATTTCATTTGAGGTTTAGAGTCCATGAGATCGATTAATTTCCTTAAAGGGGATTTTCGGGCGTTGCGCAACACTTGCCAGGGGCAGGTGTGATCCGGCTGGTAAAAATAATTGGCAGGATGGTTGTATGCCAATTGGGGACGGTTCGAACCTTAGTGGGGGAGAACCGGGCATTTTATTGAGGGAACCAGAGATTTGTGCAAGAGCGGTTAGGGGTTGAATACAGGAACCTACGGCTTGAATTCATGGGATCAGGGTCATTGGTGATCAGGGAAAGTTGCAGGGCGAGAAAATGCAGGTGGTATATGTCTGAGAGAGAGATGGGCGTCTCCACGGCAGGTGGTGAATGGATAGGAATCTGGCGGTGGTCAGGGTCGTTTCAAGTGGAAGGCTCGTGATGATAGTATGGGCAGTCGAGAACTTCTGGGTCGAAGTATGGATTGTTTATGCCTTTTTGGGGTGGTTAGAAGATCATCGAGCAGCCAACTTCCGGGCCGGTATGTGTATTCTTGCGTGGATTCTGAGCAGTAGAGGAAAGGATTCCGGAGGATCATCAGTATGTTCTGAAGCATCAGCGCTTTCTTTGTATTCTAAGTGAGTGTCTGGATACACTGAAGTTGCGCATTGGGTACAATGAAGAATTATTATAAGGCTCAGAGGAATGTTTTGTTGTATATGTATGGTGCTGGGAGTAGGAAGAAGACGGGTGCATCCCCAAC